GGTGCAGCATGAGTACGTAAATCAACGCGTACCCAGTAAGTATCTAGCCAAACCCCGGAGAAGTAGTGATGAGGGGTCGACACCGATACTTACTAAAGGTCCAACAAAGCAATATAATAAAACACAAGCAGATATGAGGCATACGACAATGATGAGGTAAATCTGTAAGTTACATAATATTCCAATTTCTTCTTTTAAAGCATAAATTTCTAAATCTTGTATTCTACCTTACCAGCTCGGAAAAATGTCAAGTGTCATTATCAAATAAGTAAGGAATACCATATAAAATGTCGGGCATCAGTGGAAAGTTTAGCTCGTGAGTATTCGGACTACTAGCGATATAATGCACGATTCTGTCGAGGTCGTTCGGCCCGATCCAGAATAATGTGTACAATGCTGAGGGTCATGCGGCACGAACCATAGATGCATCTATATACTGCCAAGGCATTCGGCCCGCTCCACAAGAAAAGGAAGGAAGTTATCGAATTATGAGATACGTGTTTACAATACAGTACATGAGCATAACATGAGTATAATCTTTACCATTTCTCAAATAACTCGCCCAAAACTCAAAGTGTTAAGGCTTGGCCTAGTGTGTATATATTTATTTCTAAATAGATTTCAGTTATAACTTCAATAAATTAAGCCAACAGAGTGAGTTCAAGTAATTTATATATTACATGATAAGATCCTAAGTGTATCCTGACATAAACATGCTTTAGCTACGTATGGACTCTCGTCACCTCGTGTGTACGTAGCACCCACAACTAGTTGCACATAACAATAAATATCACCTAGGGGGTAGTTTCCCTCTCACAAGGTTAGACAGGAGACTTACCTCACTCCGAAGTCCCATAACCGGCTCCAAAGCCTGTCTAACACCTCGAACCAAAGCCCCTCGATCCAAAACTATTCAAACAGTGTACAACCCAATCAAAATATATTCTAATACCCATAATTAATCAATTTAAAAAATTCCAAACCCCACTCGAAAAGTCGATAAAACCAAACCTCGGGCCCACATGCCCGGATTCCGAAAATATTCGAAGATAAACTTTAACCATAACACCACGAACGCAAATATATGATTTATTACTAATTCCATGTCCCATTTCATGGTCAAAATTCAAAAATACCAATTTCTAGGTTTTCTACCAAAATCCCAAATTTCTACTAATTTCCATGCTTAAATCCATATACAACCCATGTATTTAACTTGTAATAGGTGGGAATCACTTACCTTATGTTGCTTGATGAAAGTCTATCCTTGAAGCTCTCCAAAATCGACCCAACCAAGTGAAATGAGAGAAAATGGGCCAAATCCCGCTTTTAAAAGAACACCTCTGCCCAGACGACTTTTCGCACCTACAGAACACAAGCCGCACCTGCAAAAAAATCCATTGCAGGTGCGGTTCCCACCCAGCCAGGCAAAATCCTCTTCTACGGACCTATTTCCTCTTCTGCGCGATCGCTTCTGCGGTCCCCCACATGCTCCTGCGCTTCCGCACGTGTGGATATCCCTCCGCTTCTGCGACCCAGCTGCCCCTCTCGTTTCCGGCTTCTGCGGAGCACCCTTCGCATCTGCAAGCTTGCAGATGCAGAATTAGCCTCGCATCTGCGTCCACCCCAGCTCAATCGAATTGTCACTTCTCCGGCCCCAACGCCGCACCTACGGGCTCGCACTTGCAACCCTCAACATGCACGTGTGATTGCACCACCAATTGGCCAACACCAGCATTCCTCAACTTCAAATATTTGATACGATTTCAATCCGAACCTCACCCGAGGCCCCCGGCACGTTAACCAAATATACCCAAGCATCCTAAAACATATTACAAACTTGGTCGAGGCCTTAAATCATGCCAAACAACATCAAAACAATGGATCGACGATCGAAATCCTTCTTTAAGCTTTCAAATTTTCAAACTTCGACAAACGCGTCCGAACCATACCAAAATATTCCGGAAAGACGCCAAACTTTGCGTACAAGTCATGAATCACAATACGAACCCATTCCAAGGCTCAAAATCCCAAACGGACATCGATAATATCAAAACCTACTTCAAACCAATCTTAGGAAATTCTTACGCCTTCAAAATGCCAACCTTCCATGATAAGCACCGAAATGTTCCCGGGTTATACGATACTCAATCCGAACATATACCCAAGTCCGAAATCATCATAGGAACCTATTGAAACCTTCAAATCCCGATTTCGAGGTCATTTACTCAAAAATTCAAACCTTATCCAATTCTTCCAACTTAAAACTTCTGAAATTAGAATTTTCTTTCCAAATCAACTCCGAAATTCTCGAAGTTCAATTTCGACCACACGTACAATTCATAATACCCTAAGTAAAGCTACTCAAGGCCTCAAACCACCGAACGACCCACTAGAGCTCAAAATGATCGGCCGGGTCGTTACATTCTCCACCACTTAAACATACGTTCATTCTCGAACGTGCTAGAGACTGCTCCGAAGTTACCTAGCACATTTAACTAAAGATGTTTAAATTGACCTGCTTGATTGAATGTGTGTGTTGCACGGACCTAAAGTCATTTTTCTTATTTAGGTTCGTAACTCATAGCACATTTAACTAAAGATGATTGATTTGACCTGCTTGATTGAATTAGTGTGTTGAACCTGTATACGGCTAAAATCAGACCCATAAGCAGGCCCGGTTCCCAGTAAAATAAATCAAGTAAAGGACACGATGACAAGGAATCAGAATTGAGATAAGGGACTCATCAAGTCAGGCACTGGGGGCACGATGCCCGCCCTGGAGTATATCGAGGCCATGACCCAGGATCGGTCCAAATCCCAAGAGACTCCGGAGAGCATTATTAAGCATTCAAACACGATTAACAAAAGTCTGTAATATCCGTGACCAACTGGGTATCACAGCACAGATCTCGGCACGCACTGACGGGAATCCAATAATCCGTTAAACGAGAGATTTTTTACTTTTTATAGAATTGTACTTAGGATAAAACTCCCCTACTATATAAAGGGGAGTCTGATTATTCATTAAGCACATTGTAACACGCATCCCAAAGAATATATTACTCCCTCCATTCCATTTTATTTGAACCTATTTCCTTTTTAGTCTGTTCCAAAAAGAATGACCCCTTTCTAAATTTGGAAATAATTTAGCTTAAACTTCCAATTCTCTCCTTAATGAGAAGCTTTTATAACTACACAAATACTCTAGACTCCTTTTTGACTTGTTTTGGACCACAAATTCTAATAGTCTTCATTTTTTCTTAAACTCTGTACCCAATCAAACAAGTTCACATAAATTGGAACAGAGGGAGTATTATTTACACCGTTATTCATACCTCTTATTCTCGTTCATCAGTGCTAGCCATTGTGAATTCGGATAGAGGGCAAAAATTTCATCAAGGCTAGAATTTTCCTCCTCCACATGGTTTGAAGTTACTATATCTTTATTTGTTTAAACTAGCATGATTTATCGTTTGTATCGAATTAATTCACGTATCCTTAAAATCACTTACAAATTTTAATTGTTATCCATTTTTAGGGTAAATAGTTTTGCGCCCACCGTGGGGCTAAGGATAATAGTGGCAATTTGATATATATTTCCATAACGCACCCTATTTTACACTTGGTCTTTGAAGTATCTTTAATTTCAGGTCAAAGTTCAAAAGGTCGAACTCCCAATCTGCACCTCTAAATATGGATGCCGAGTCCGGTCACCACGATGAGAACAACATATGGTATCCAGTGGCGAGGTGCCACATGTCGATCCCATCGGAATTCTGGTCGCGTACCCCATCGACGCTAATTAATATGTGGCCATCAATGCAAATCTGCCTACCGATCTTGAGAACAACATCCATGGGGGAGTCCGATCGGCATCCCAAAATACACACGATGGTGAAGGAGATGGGAACAACTTACGAGTGATCTTCGAAATGCTACAGGCCCAACAGGCAGTGATTGCCCAGTTGCAGAACCAAAGCCGCGCCCCCAACAGAGTTGAGCCCGAGCCGTCTTGGGAAATCACTCGTAGAAATGAACCAATCACGGAAAGGCCGAGTGGAGCTAAACCCGGGACTAACCACGAAATGATAAAAATTCTCGAGGAACTGACCAAACGGGTAGAATCGGGAGAAAAGAAAATCCAAGCCAACGACAAAAAGGTGGAAACTTATAATTCCAGGGTCGACCAAATCCTAGGAGTTCCACCGATATTGAAGAGCCTGGATTCCAAGAAGTTTCTTAAGAAACCTTTCCCTCCGAGCGCAGCTCCAAAGCCATTCTCGAAGAAGTTCCGCATGCCCAAAATTCCTAAATACAATGGAACAATCGACCCAAATAAGTATGTGACCTCCTACATGTGTGCCATCAAAGGGAACGACTTGGAGGATGATGAGATCGAGTCTGTCCTGCTGAAAATGTTCGGGGAAAATTTGTCAAAGGGAGCTATGATATGGTATCACAACTTACCCCCTAATTATATTAACTCGTTTGCTATGCTTGCAGACTCTTTCGTGAAAGCACATGCCGGGGCCATCAAGGTCGAAACCAGGAAGTCGGACCTTTTCAAAGTGAAACAGAGAGATAATGAGATGCTCAGGGAATTCGTGTCCCGATTTCAAATTGAACGAATGGACATGCCTCTGGTGCGGACGATTGAGCCGTTTATGCCTTCACCCAGGGACTCGATAATCGAAGCTCGTTGTCTTTATAGCAGTTGAAGCAAAATCTGATAGAATATCCGACTGTAACTTGGGCCGACATACATAATCGGTATCAATAAAATATTAGGGTCAAAGATGATCTGCTTGGGGACCCTTCTGGGTCTGTTTATCCTATCAGAGTTATTGACAGATCCAAAAGAGACATTGATCGTGAACCACGATCAAAATAGGGACCGGTATTAACCATAAAACGGAGACCGAAGAGGTAATGGGTCCGGATGAAACCCCGTGATAAGCGAAAGGAGAAGCGATCGAGGTCAAAATAACCAGGGACTCATGAGCAAAAGCGGTTTGGACAGGCCCATCAGGCATATGGAAGCACCAAAGTTATCGGAGTACAACTTCAATGTCGATGTTGCTGCCATCGTATCTGCAATCATACGCATCAAAGACACCAAGTGGGCTCGACCTCTACAGTCTGATCCAGCACAAAGAGAACCCAACCGAATATGTAAATATCACGGCACTCATGGCCACAGAATGGAAGATTGCCGACAATTGAGAGAGGAAGTAGCCCGGTTATTCAACAACGGACATCTCCGACAGTTCTTGAGCGATCGAGCGAAAAATAATTTCAGGAATAGGGACTCAAATAAGCAGATCGAGTAGGAGGAACCACATCATATCATTAACATGATCATCGATAGGGTCGACGTCCCTCAGCGGTCGATGTTAAAGCGCACCAAAGTGTCCATCACTAGAGAAAAATGGACTCGAGATTATGTTCCAGAAGGAACCTAATCTTTCAACGACGAAGACACTAAAGGCATCGTGCAACCACACAATGATGCACTGGTAATATATGTACTCATAAATAAATCTCGAGTTAAGCGTGTGTTAATTGATCGAGGTAGCTCAGCCTATATCATCAGATCGAGAGTCGTAGAGCAGCTGGGTATGCAAGACCAAATTGTGCTTGCAGTCCGAGTTCTAAACGGATTCAATATGGCATGTAAGACCACTAAAAGGGAGATAACACTACCAGTGAACACTGCCAGAATAATTCAGGAAGCAAAGTTCTACGTGATCGAAGGATATATGCGATACAACGCTCTGTTCGAGAGGCCGTGGATTCACAGCATGATGGCAGTGCCCTCGACACTGCACCAGATGTTAAAATTCCCAACACCGGGGGGGATTAAAACAATTTACGGAGAACAACCGGCTGCAAATGAGATATTCGCGATTGATGAGTGGTTCCGATATCCGCACTTTCTACACCAAAGGATCCAAGTTCGATCGCCAAGGGAGGTACCAACTAGCAATCACCGATCCCGACCCCGACCCCGACCAAATCGGAGAAGCAGGGGACAAATGAGGATGACCACTATGGAGTTCCCAGATCCTTCATAGTCCCCGCAATTTCGACGCCACCAAATCAACGGTTAATGAACTTGAACAGGTCATGTTGATCGAGCACCTGCCCGATCGTAAGGTATACCTAGGCACGGGGTTAAATCCCAAGCTTACGAAAAATCTCATTAGATTCCTTATGGCTAACATAGATTTTTTTCGCTTGGTCCTACTTCGACATGACAGGGATACCGCCGGAGAGAACTACCCATAAGCTGAGCCTGGATCTGAAGTTCCACCCGGTCAAATAGAAAATGAGGCCTCAGTTCGAAGTTAAGCCTGCATTCATCAAAGATGAGGTATCTAAACTCCTTAAAATAGGGTCAATACTGGAGGTTAAATACCCGGATTGGTTAGCAAACGTAGTGGTAGTCCCTAAAAAAGAGAATAAATTAAGAATGTGTGTAGACTAAAAAGACTTGAATAAGGCATGCCCCAATGACTCTTTCCCTCTGCCCAACATCGATCGCATGATCGATGCGCCGGCCGGCCACCAGATCCTTAGCTTTCTCGATGCCTATTTCGGGTACAACCAAATTCGGATGGACCCGGGCGACCAGGAAAAAATGTCCTTCATCACTAAATACAACACCTACTGTTATAACGTAATTCCATTCGGACTAAAAAACGTTAGTGCACTTACCAACGCTGTAAATCGAATGTTCAAAGAACAAATAAAAAATCAATAGAGGTTTAAATTGACGATATGTTAGTTAAGTCCCTGCGAGTAGAGCACCATTTGAAACATTTGCAAGAAACCTTCAACATACTGAAGAAATACAATATGAAGCTTAACCCAGAGAAATGCGCATTCAGAGTCGGGTCCGAAAAATTTCTCTGATTTATGGTGTCTAATCGGGGGATCGAAATCAATCCCGATAAAATAAAGGCCATCCAGGACATTGATCAACGATCGATGTCATATTGATCAAGCACATGCCCGATCATAAGGTATACCTGGGCACGGGGTTAAATCCCGAGCTTAGGAAAAAACTCATTAGATTCCTTATGGATAACATAGATTGTGTCGCTTTGTCCTACCTCGACATGACAGGGATCCCGCCGGAGATAATTACCCATAAGGTGAGCCTGGATCCGATGTTCCACCCGCTCAAACAGATAAGGAGGCCTCAGTCGGAAGTCAAGCATGCATTCATCAAAGACAAGGTATCTAAACTCCTTAAAATAAGGTCAATCCGGGAGGTTAAATACCCGGATTGGTTAGCAAACGTAGTGGCATTCCCTAAAAAAGGGAATAAACTATGAATGTGTGTAGACTATAAAGACTTGAATAAGGCATGCCCCAAGGACTCTTTCCCTCTTCCCAACATCGATCGCATGATCGATGAGATGACCGGCCACGAGATCCTCAGCTTTCTCGATGCCTATTCTGGGTACAACCAAATTCGGATGGACCCGGGCGACCAGGAAAAAACATCTTTCATCACTAAGTACGGCACCTACTGTTATAATATACTTCCATTCAGACTAAAAAATGCTGGTGCCACTTACCAACGCCTAGTAAATCGAATGTTCGAAGAACAAATAGGAAAATCAATAGAGGTTTACATTGATGATACGTTAGTTAAGTCCTTGTGAGCAGGGGACCATTTGAAACATTTACAGGAAACCTTCAACATACTGAAGATATACAATAGGAAGCCGAACCCGGAGAAATGTGCATTCGGAGTTGGGTCTGGGAAATTTCTCGGATTCATGGTGTCTAATTGGGGGATCGAAATCAATCCCGGTAAAATCAAGGCCATAGAGGACATTACCGTGGTGGACAATGTCAAGGTCGTTCAATGACTGACCGAGCGCATAGCCGCATTGGGCCGATTTATTTCAAGAGAAAGTCAGGGAGAAAGAAGTTATTGACTTCATTTGGACCACATAATATGCTAGTTTGGAATCATAAGAAGAGGTTGACCGACGCCAAAGGAAAATGGAAGGAAAGTTTGCCCGAAGTCCTGTGGGCATATCGAACAACCTCAAAGTCTAGTACCGAGGCCACCCCATTCTCGTTGGTCTACGGTGCCGAAGCGCTAATACCGGTCGAAGGTTCCGATACACGGCCAATGATTCTAACGACGAGGCCATGAACACGAGCCTGGAACTGCTAGATGAGAGGCGCGAGGCTTCCCTCGTCCGGCTGGCCGCCCAAAAACAACGGGTTGAAAGGTATTACAACCAGAGAGCCAACCTCCAACACTTCAATATGGTGTTAAGAAAAGTGACACTAAATATCTAGAACCTGAACGAAGGCAAGCTGGGATCAAATTGGGAAGATCCATATATAATTGTCGAGATCACCGGCAAAGGATCATACAAACTTGAAGAAGGCAACGGTGAGCGACTACCGAACAACTGGAACGTGACCCACTTAAAATGGTACTACTGCTAAGGTACGACCCCATCCATTCTTTTATTTACCTATATTACGAGTTGAACTAACATTTGTAGGCAATGTCCAAAGAGTGATGTAGTTATCAGGCCTGAAAGCACGCGTTGCACTCTTTTTTCTTTGAACCGATTTTGTCCCAAATAGGTTTTCCAGCAAGGTTTTTAATGAGGAAATAGTAGATCGTGCTAACAAAGAATTGAAGACTGGCTATGAACCAGATTCAAGGGTCACATCAACAGTATCTGAGCCCTCTCTACGATCGGCCTCAAACACTGGGGGCCATCACCCTTGATAATGATTTTAGCAAGGAAGGAAACTTTGTGCTCGAACAGTCTGGGCTTGGTGGATATGATTTATTCTAAGGTCCAAAACGATCAAATGAATCGTGCCCACATAGACCACTTAATCCATAACACGAAGCTTGTACGCATTTGCCATCTTGTATGTTGCGCACAAAAATGAAAGAAAGTTTCTACCTTGCATATACATATTTTGTCTCTTAAAAACTACTACATTTTGTTCCTTAAGGACATCGGGCCCGAGGGCCGCCTCTAGCCGGATCTAAGAGATCACCCCACCGGGGGACTGTCATCCAAGGCAAACTTGGACGGCTCGACCTGTCGAAACCCAGAGGCACAAAAACCTATTAAGTAGTGCCCGAACTTTAAAGGCTATGACCGCCCACATTCGGGGACTCTCATCCTGGGCAAGCCCGGATGGCTCGGACATCGAAGCCCGGGGTAATAAGACTATTAGGCAATACCCAAACTTAAAAGACTATGGCCATCTTAGAAATGACTCGGAGACATTGGAAACCCGTAACCAAAATATAAGGCCTTCAAATTTTCCAAACCGGTCCAAATGCTACCCTCGTCAAAATTATAATCTAAAAACATCTAAATAAATACTTTGGGGGAAAACTTCCGGTCATACCAAGCCCCCACGAGTTGTAAACAAAGTCACATCGAGAACAAGCCTTGTTTGAACTTCCGAATAAGACCTTGTTACTACATGCTAAGGCATTCGAAATCTTTTGCAATCATAAGGAAAAATCCAAAAGAAATAAACTTGAAAATTGCCAAAGGGAAAAAAGAAAAGCCTTGTATATATATAAATATATCTTTAGAAAGGCCAAACAGCCTCAACAAAACACACAAAAACAAAGAAAAATCTACAAGGCGCCTAAGCCTGATCTTCACCGGAGCCTGCCTTGTCACTGGGACCATCGGGGTCTTCACCGCCCTTGGATCCCTCGGAGCCTTCCTCGTCCTTGGGATATTCCAACTTTTAGCCTCGGCCTCGAGTCTTTTAACATTTTTGATCTCGACCGTTAAGTCAAAACCCCGGGCATGAACTTCCTCTAGAGCCACTTCAAGTATTCGGCAATGACTTTCTGGCGGTCCTGGGCTGCCTCGGCATCAGCTTTGTACTGGGCCACCATCTCTTCAGCATCAGCCCTGGTTATTTCCACCACTATTTTGGCTGCTTTAAGTTCCTTGGCAAGGGTATCCTGTTTGTCAGTGGCCGAGCACAATTGAGACTCGAGGTCTACGATTTTATGGGATCGGGCCTCAGCTTTCTCCCTTGCCACTTGAAGTTGGGCCTCTGTCGATGCCAACTACTCTCGGGTAGTCTCCTTTTTTGAAGTCAATCGGTCCATTTTGCCCTTCCACTCTTCGGCCATGGCCTTGACCTCGTCCATCTCAGCCCGGATCTGGTCCACCCGATCAACCTTCTGTTGGACCTACAGGTTCTGACCATTAGTCACCATGTCTAACTCGTCATCACTAACTTCAAAAATCTTTACTTGTTCCACCAGGTTGACATGTTCTTTCTGAGACGCCTCCAACTCGACTCGAAAGTTTTTGACTTCTCTTTCGCATTGCTTGCTGAGAAGCTTATACATCTCCCTCTTCTCAGCAAGCTCTTTGACTTCGGCCTCGAGTTGGCTAAGCTCATCCCGGTACCAGAGAAAGGTTTCATGGTGAAGCACCAAGGCCTACAAAATAAAGAAAGGAAACGACATTATAGTCATCAAAAATTGGATCCGAAAGTAAAAGAGTGTGATAACACCTTAACCGGTTCAACGCTTCTTGAGCTTCGTTGAACAAGCATGGCGTATCCACCTCGTTCATTTTTGCCTGGTCGTCTTCCGTTACCAGGCACCGGAGGTAGCTAGCTATCCCTACGGGGGCAGAAAGAATCTGCGCATCCTCCGGAACGATGATAATGACATATCGCTTCCGACTAGGATCCGTGCTCGGAGCGGGGAATCGATTGATCAACCTCGGGCTCAAGCTCGACCAGCTGACCTTTGAGGATGGGCTTTTTCTCGGCACCTATAAATCGTCCAACCCGGTGAAGTCTTCCAGGGTGGTTGAGTCTACCCTATCAAAGAAGCAACGAAGGGGATCGTCTGCTCCCTGAACCCCTTCATTGGATCGCTCTTTCGTTGCCCGGGCTTCATCAAACATAGACTCTGTGAACGAGGGCGATCCCGATATCTATAACACCGGGCGGGGCAGGGCGGGGCCGACGTCTCGAGAGATCTCGGCCCTCACTTCGGTACCAGCCTTATGAACTTGAGGAGGATTAG